TCGCTTTAAAGCTTGTGCAACAATTGAGAGACCTATTAGTTAGTAGCTAATAAGTAGTAATTGTACTTCAGAGCTACAATGGGTATATTGTTTCTATCGATATTCGAGTTTCCAGAAATATCTTTAAATATGGTGTCTAGTTCGATTCTGGACAAAAATTTCGGCTACCGGAAAACTGGACTTATAAATTCATCCGTCTGACAGGCCAGCTATGGAAGCTACTGAATAATGGCTGAATTTAATACCAATACAATTCCTTCTCTGGCCAATGAAGGCATAACATATAAGGTGGTCTACTCTAAAGCAGGTTAAGCAAGCGGCGGTGTATAGTATTTATGCTGCGAAATGCCGAATCAACATACTTTCTCTGATATTGATGAGAAAATGCCTAGGAGAAAGCCCGTCTTGAAAACGATTCACAGGACAAGGCAATTCGTGGCAGGCATCGAATTGTGACTCATTAACTTGCGTATATGGTTCAGATCAGGCAGAGCCTGGATCAAACTTTCATTATAATTAAGAGAATGGTATATACTTTGCAGTGTACTTTGGATCTTGCATAGCCTTAACAGCGTGATCAAGATATTGCAGAATACTAAAATAATTTCATCCATGAAAAAGTGTCACAGAACAACTCGTGTTAACTCTTGTATCCATTAAATCTAATACAACTTGACATGAAAATAAGAGTATCTTTGCCCCTAATGGGATCGCGACCTTGGAAGAAAGAGATGCACTTGCGAGATTTGTTGGCACAAAGAAATATCATGCATTCTCCCTCATGGCTACTGACTATTTCTTGATTAAGGCCTAGTATTTAACTATAACTTTTGATCCATGTAGCCGGCTTGATTGCTTTGCTTTATAATTTTCTTAAACATATTTGCGTCTATAAAGTGTTTTACTAAGGAAATGCACGGAGTTGAAATCAATTTGATGTGAATTATTGCGGAAGCCTCATTTAATGTACTCGGAGGGGTGGTCGACCTTAAAGTCCTAGTAAAGGCGATATTACTCATCAACTCAATTTTTGCTGAGGTTTACTAAATTTCATTCCATCTGCTTGTCACTAGCTGTAACTGCAACTCCATTTTTGCTGATGTAATATGCTAAATCAAATGCGCTGTAATCTCCTCGGTCTTAAACGGTAGACATACAGGTTAGTCCGTCAATCGCGTCTACGGACTACTTCGTTGAAACAGCCTGTTTTAAGTGAAGTATATAAACCACCCTGTGAATTGCCTTCAGCCTCACTATACAAACCCTTGTGGCTGTTTTAAGCTAGTCTGTTTGGTCGAGGCCGCCGTTGCTAATTAGGAATAAGTATTGGCAAGGCGAGAAGCTTCGTGTTAATCCTACCTGGGCCGCCATGTGTATTTGCTAACGAATGGATAAAAGAATGACTAAACAGCTGCCAGAGCAAAGGGATGATACGAAAAAGAAACGTTGGACCGAGTTTTACTTTCCGTTAGATTCGCTTCGCTGGCATAAAGATACTTCTCTACATAAAACCAGCCGCCCATCGACTCCAGCGCTTTATACTCAAGTGTCGGAGTGTGAGTCGATTCATGCTGGGTATAATAAGGACACACTGACACCCTGGAATCCTGGAACCTGGGTTCATCGAAAGGGTGCTTATGAAATCAAGCAAAAAGAGTCAGTCGTCGGACTTCAAGCCGATCCGAAGTTCAGGTATTGCGATGACCGTCCTCCTGTACTTCCCCACTCTTACTTTAGACAGGACAATTCGTCTGATGATGCAAGTAAGCCGGCACCATTCACCAGCAATCGGAATATTCTCAACCCCATCATCTCTGCACTCCGGTTTCGAAGCAACCTCGATCTAACACGAGATGGTGGAGATATCTCAGAAAGCACTTCTGTCAATGTCAAAAATCGCTGTCTTGATTGGCCTCTGGCAGACTCACTTGGTCTTGCCGTCACTCGAATTCCTCCTCGAAATAGCCATCCACAGCCTAAGGATAATTATCTAACATCAGCCAAGCTTGCTACTAGGCTTTCTCGGAGGCAAGATGGAATCGTGATTATAGTCGACGAAAAGGCCATGGGCTGCGAAAAGCAGGAATCATGTGAGAAAGCTAAAATATCCCATGACGGCAAGGATTACGAAACAGAAATAGGAGAGGATGAGGAAGAAGAAAATATGAATACTAACAGGAACCTCAAATCAAAGGAAAAAGAAAAACATGAGACTTTAAAAGAGGGTAAGACCTGGCGATACGCAAGAGAGGGTTCGGAACTTGCGACAGAAAAGGTAGTCTCTCAAAATGCAGGAAAATTCTTTTCTAGCATCGCTTTTAATGATCCATCGGCTGTCAGAAGTAACCCCACCCTCCGAGATCAATGCTGGAAACATCGCGGATCTACAACCAATATATTAAAGCGGTTCGCAAGTTCAGCCTTGACGGCAAGCAGCGAGGCTAAGCTACGAGTTCCGACCAACTTGATGAAGGAAACTTTGACTCACACGACACCGACAATGATGTGTGGCCTCGAGATCGCCAGGGAAAGGGCACTCGACGGGGAGATTTGGGATAGATGTGACAAAGATCTTTTGAAATTCTCCACTCTACCGAGCAGACCGCTCATGGTCAACGCAAACAGGCGTCTCTCTGACCGCTACTCGGTTACAACATCTCGACAGAGTCAAGCAAGTTTAGGATGAATATATACTTGTTCACTCCTTCTATTTCACGCATTTTTTATATCAAAACTTAGGGTAAATTGAAATATGGTAAAAAAATATTTTGATCTTGCTTTCGCAACTTGAATGTATTTTCAGGGGGACCTAGAGGAAGCATTTGTCCATGATAATTTCCAGTCTGGCCATGGACTCGGTACAGTCATAGACGTTTTGTCGGGATCTTAGTCGACATCGTCAGTGAGCCTTGCCACTCTTAGCACCACATTGCAACTTGTCAAAGGGACAAGTGAAATTAATCCCTTGACCAACTGTTTGTTGAACAGTATCTGTCCTTCTGTCTCTGGTGTATTCGCTTATCCTATATCCTCGTAAAACCCTTTCACTATCACAATTGCCCAGTGTTTATTTAAGCCTTGTTCTGTTATGTCCTTTTAAGCGGATTTAAGCAAGGTATTCATAAGGCAACTGACCGTATATGTGGGAGGAGGGGTCTACATGACGTTTTTTCATAAGTGACATCATATACATGATGTTTGACAATGCCAGAATAATCATGGCCAAAATGGCAGACCCCCTTGCCCAAACAAATTTTCCCGAAAAAATTCCTGAAAGATCATTAAGTATAACCAGATTGAATTTAAAAATCGTCATTAATATTTAACTAAGGACCTAATCAAAATAGTAGTACCAAAAACTAATGCTAGTTCCGAGATATAAACAGAATTTAAGTGGCGTCATCAATTGTATTTGCAAAGCCTTGTTTGCTTCGTCGATAATCCCACCATAAAATGTGATTTTAAAAAGGTCTGGCCTGCCTTGAAATTCATATCTATCCTGTGACCTCTGACTCTGTGGTTTAGTGGTAACGGGCAACCACGATGCACACAACCTGAGCTCAAATCCCTTCGGAGGTGCTGGTGAGGCCTTTGAGGTGAAATTCAGTAGTATAGTTAGGCTTTTTACTATTATTGCAATTGAGGCTACATACATAAACTTAAGGTACCTAGGTTGACTATGTTTTTACTAATAAAATTTTGTTGAGTTCTTATTAATTAAGAACCTTTTATCATCCTATCATATTGCTATTTATGTGGCACAGACGCCTAACCTAAGCCCCAGCATTAGAGGATTCACTCTATTGTGCCTCTAGGCTGTGATGAAACCTGTAAAGTCCCTTACTTTATAGCAGACCTGCCATATTCATATATTTGCCTAAATACGAGCAATCTGAATCAGCCATTAAATATAGTACA